ATATGATAATTGACTTTCTCTGCTTGACTTATTTCACTTAGCATGATCTCCTCCAGTCCCATCCATGTTGATGTAAAAGTTGGGTATTCATCCTTTTTTTTTTAATCTGTTAGATTTTTTTTTTATTATGTTAGCACCGTACATTACATCATTAGTTTTTGATGTAGTGTTCCATGATTCATTGTTTGTGTATAATACCCAGTGCTCCATTCAATACATGCCCTCCTTAATACCCATCACCAGGCTAACCCATCCTCCCACCACCCTCCCCTCTAGAACCCTCAGTTTGTTTCTCAGAGTCCATCATCTCTCATGGTTCATCTCCCCCTCCGATTTCCTTCCCTTCATTCTTCCCCTCCTGCTAGCGTCTTCTTCTTTTTCTTTCTTTTTTTTTTTAAACATATAATGTATTATTTGTTTCGGAGGTACAGATCTGTGATTCATCAGTCTTGCACAATTCACAGCGCTCACCATAGCACATACCCTCCCCAATGTCCATCACCCAGCCGCCCCATCCCTCCCACCCCCCACCGCTCCAGCAACCCTCAGTTTGTTTCCTGAGATTAAGAATTCCTCTGGAGAGTGTTATGCTGAGCGAAATAAGTCAATCAGAGAAGGACATGTATCCACATCTATGTCTTATTTCTTCAAATAGGTTATATACTTGTCGAAGGCCACGACTGTGCTTTTGCCAGACTCTGTTATCTGTCATCATCCATAAATGTTTACGTGATGAGAGAAATGGTTTACTCGACCAGTGTGCACCAAGGCCGACTTGACAAGGCTCCATGGGGGTGGGTGCAGAGGAGACTCAAGTAGAAAAGATGGGTGTGTCTCGTAAGTTATACTAGAAGATAGGCCTCCTACCTGTGCACAAATACAGTACCGAGTTCTGGATCCCGAGCTTTGAAGTTAGATGGGCCTCGCTGTGTCTGTCTCCTCCTTTGTAAAATGCAGGCAACGAGAGCATGTAATTTGTACCAGTGGTTTTCAGCTGGGGTGATTTTTGCCCTGTGGGAGTCATTTGGCGATGTCAGGAAACCTTCTTCATGTTACAACTGGGGATGGAGGGAGGACCGACATTTAGTGAGTAGAGTCCAGGGATGCTGCTGAACACCCTACGGTGCAGGGGACAGAACAAGGAATTACAAAGAACTACACTGACAGGAGTGCTGAAGTTGAGAAACCCTGCCTCATTGGTTTGTAAAGATGAAGCCAGGTAATGGATGTCATCTCAAAGATTATAAAATCAGCTTTTAGGGGGGTGACCCCCAAAAGGCTCAATTTCCGTGGCATCTGTGATTCTTGCCAAGGAAAACCCTTTGTGATAAGGATTTTGAGCTCTCCTGTTTAGAGGACTCACTGGGGAGATTGTTTGTGTTACATTGTGTACTCACATGAGCTGGCTGGATTTATCGGAGCTGTAAAAACAATTGTTAATTTTTAGGGTGTTCCTGGTAAACTTCCTGCTTGCTTAACCAGTTTGTTCTGTGGAGATAATTTTGGTGTGTGGGTTTAAATCCTCTGATGGAAAATGTTTTGGTTAATGAATTTCCAAAATATATTTTGACAAGTGGGAGGTGAAAAGTTTTTGTTTTCACATCAAGACGCCTCATGTTTTTCTAGCCCTAGATTTAAAACAAAGCCTCTCTCCCCTCAGTTTACTGCCTTACCTGCCCACTGCACCCATTTGGGTATTTGTGGGAGTGGTTTGGAGGGCTGTTGGATTTCCATCTCTTCTTTGTTGGGTTTGCAGGGGAGATTGTTATTTAAATTTTTTTGTAATTATTAAAGTAATATGCACCTTACAGAAGATTTTAGTAATATAGAAAAACCATAAAGATGTAGTAAAAAAAAAAAAAAAGTTATCGGTAATCCTACCACACAAAGGTATAACTACGTTGCTGTGTTTCTGTCCATTTTTAAAATTTATATATTTTTTCCATATTTGTAATATTCTGAGTCTATGATTTGTGTTTCCCCCTTTTTATTTTACTTATTTTGTCTTTCCCCACACTACAAAAATAACTAAATACTATTTCTAAGGACTGTAAAATATTCCACCTAGGGATGTTTCATGATTAATCCGATTGCGGAGCCTGTTTTCAGTATTTGATGAATATCATATATCATTTGATGAATATCAATTATGCCGTCAGCATTTCCTGTCTTTCAGATCATTTTTATTTTTATCATAGATAACCAGAAGTAGAAAAAAAGGATGGGCATGCATATGGATATCTTGATTGATATTGCTATTGGTTGCCAAAAATGTGTATACTGATTTTTGCCACCAGCAGCAGAGTGATAGTCTCATTTTAATAATATTTGGCAGTTTTCTAGGGGAAAAGATATTTCATTTTTCTTTTTTGTTTATTTGATATTAATGAGATCAAATAGTTTATATGACTGTTAACTGCATTTCCTGTTTAACAAACTGTTCATGAACTTTACCCATTTATTATTTATTATTGGGGATTCGTAGTTTTCTCATTTGTCATAGACTATGTTATTATTAACCCTTATTAACCTTCTCACATATTTTGACCTAGTTTTTTTTTTCCTCTAATATTCTATTTGGTTTGTCTTTCAATTTTGTTTTTAGTCGTATAGAAGTATAAAATTTTTATGTAGTCAGATCTTGATTTTTCTTCTTCACGGTCTTCAACCTTCCTTTGTCTTTACTGAAATGAACGCTTTTCTGTTCTGGAGGTCACTATACTGAATTGTCAATATTTAAAATTCTGCCCCCACTCTGCACCACTATAGAGTTTCTCAATGAGGATAAATGGGCCTCGAGTGCTTGATCCAATCTGGGCACCCACCATGAAAAAACCTCCCCATCTGTGTGTGTGTGTGTGTGTGTGTGTGTGTGGTGGGGGTGTGTGTGGGTGGGCATGAGTGAGTAGGGAAAGTTGATGAGAAAGGGTGGGGCTCCTATTGGGTCATGGCTTGTTTGGTCTTAATTTCCTTTCCCACAGGGTAGACGTGAGCTTCCCTGAAGGCAGGGGCTTCCATCCGTTCTTACATGCCTGAGTAACTGGGACCAGTAGCTTGCCTAGCAAACTGTGGCAGTGCCTGGCACAGAGCTGGCCATGACCATTCTTTTATTTCTCTAGTGCCAGAGAAGGTTCACTGAGTGGAGACTGTGGCCAAGTCCCTTCCACTCCTTACGCCTTAAGTTTCATTCTCTTGGGCTCCAGACTCTGTTGCTCAGGCCTCATTAAGGTAATTCACTGCCATGTGGGTGGATTTCCCCTGGTGCCATTCACCAGCTGAAGCTTGAAGAGAAAGGTAATAATAGCAAATACAAATAGTGCTTACTTGTTTTGCAAAGTGCTTCGACTACAGCTTTTTTATATGCTTCTCCCCTCAACCTTAGGAGGTTAAATACTATTTTCATCTCCATTAATTTGGAGGAAACCACCACTCAATAGAAGCATAATTAAAATCTAGAGCTTCAGACCCCAGAGCTGATCCTCTGTACTTAGGAAACAATTCCGTCGTTGTAATTTCTGGTTGTAATTTCTTGGTGGTACTACTGGGCAGGAGGTAGGCAGCAACTTTGGGTTTTGGAGTCAGGCATATCTTGGATGGAATCCCAGTAGAGTCCTGTCTTAAGATTGTAACTTTGTGACTCGTCCAGCCTGAGCTGTGGTTTTTTGTCTGTAAATGGAAGCAACAGTGCCTACCTTGCAGGGATATGAGAAAGATTAAATTGAGGTTATATATACAAGATGCCTAGCACAGCACCTGGCTTACTCATTGCAGGAGCTCAGTAAGGATTGCTGCCTAGTCTTTAAAGCTAAAAATGCTTCTGTTCTTTTTTGTTAAAAAAAAATTTCAGAATAACTGGCAAACCTGCTCAGACTTGTGAAATTTTAGTAAATATTACTTATATTTCAGTGCAAGAAACATTTATCTGGCCTATTTATTATCCTTTTGAATAGATGATTTTGTTTTCTGTTATGGATGTCAACTCCTTCTCTGAAATCCTTCTGCTTGGAGAACTTTGTGATGAATCCCCAGCTTAGGACTGTACTCACAGCCAAAATAAAACATGTTTTGTCTACATGTTTATGTAAAAAAGCACAGGCCGTTTTTTTGGAAGGGCCATAACCTAGTCATTCCTTTACACATAGTTGAGATTTTTGGCATCATTCATGTTACTTGTTACTTGCCCCATGTATCATAAACATTCAGGTAACAAAGCACTCTTAAAAAGGAAGTTGTAGGGACGCCTGGGTGGCTCAGTCA